GCAGTCTTAACTGGAGCAGTTCTCAGTCTGGTTTATTGTGTGGTCATCTGAAACATAGGATCAGGAGTTACTTTCTTGTTTGTTTTATTCTCTTTTTAATGGGCTATTTTGAGGAGCCTGAAGCTGCTGTTGTAATGAAGTTAGGGAAGTGGCAAGAAAGTTTGTGCTCTTTTTCCCTTTTGGGGTGGTGGTGGTGGTTCTTAAGTTAAACAGATTCCTTGGGTTGAGCAAGGACAGCAAGGACAAAGGCAAAATGGACTGCTAAATTGCTGCCACACCCACCCAGTCACATGACCACCCAGCCACGCCCACCCAGCCAGCCCAGTCCCCCAACAGTGTGAATCGGCCCCCTGTTCCAAACGTTTGAGTACCCCTGCGTTAGAGAAACTCACAAAAAAAGACGAGGGTTTTACGTGGATCACATTGTTTGCATGTGATAAAGAAGGGTTAAAAAGCAAACTTTCATGGAAGGAACCCTGACCAGCTCTCTGCTCCCTGGCCCCCTTTCAGGGGCTGGAAGAGGCCTCCTTTGGGCCAGGAGACCACCAGTGTCTCAGGATCCCTACGGTGCACAGGATGAGCAGCAAACCTGCCCTCCTTCTCAGAAGCTCTCTACCCTTGTAAGCACCTCCTTGCCAAGTTAAGGAGGGATATTCAGATGGACCCCAAACAAAGCGGCAAAATAGACCGTAACACTCCAAGTTCACAAGGGAGAAGGTGCCCCAAAGGGCTGACGTAATGAGGAACCAGGGCTTTGTAGCAGGGCTTTGCCTGTTTTGCCCTCCTATGGGCATAACGTGTTTAAGATAAGAAATGGGAGCACCTATGCCTGGCCTGTCCAGATGTACATGCATATAAATCTCTACAACAAAATTATTTTAATAAGGCTCTGAATACATGCACCGTCTTTATAACAGAAACATTTTCCTGGCTATCCTTTCCCTTTGATTTTTTTAAGTAAAGATCATTTTAATATTATTTCAAGAATGATATATGAACAAATTAAAGACGAGACGCCCAGATTCCCAGCTGTGGTGGAATATCCAGTGTCCTTTCCTTTTGCCCAGAGCAAGGCTTAGCCGTCATTTGTGATACAGTCCTTGCCGAGTCACCTGCATTAAGCATACACAGGTAAGAAGACACACCCAGCTGCTGAGGAGAAAAGTATGGGTTCCTTATAAAATTAAGCTGGGGCATAAAATGGCCATGAGCCTAAAAAAAAAATTTCAACCCAGGAACGTGTCATTTTAATTTTAATATATTAAGGCTCGAAATACAGAGAGGTTTGTTCATCTGAGAGAGCTCAGCAAAGCCAAACAAGAAAACAGGAAGGTTTCTGGGCCAACACGGTTGATGAGACCAAGCTTGTTCAGAGTAATTTAAGATGCAGAGAGATCTGAGCTGAGGAGGCTGGCAGAAAAGAGGAGACAGACAGACATGCTTCACTCAAACCCAAAAAACCAGTTAGGGGCATCAGAGCAAAACTGCATATAAATCCAAACTTACCCTCATCTTCCTTTGGGGCTTTCCCTTTGGGCTTCCCCCCGCTTCGGTCATTGCGATGAGAACCAGACGTAGAAAAATAGCAGCAGGCGCCACCAGTAAGGAAGCCTGCAGTCAAGGCCAGGAACCTCTGATCTGTTTGGCACAAAGAAGAGCCAGGAGTGCAGAATCGCTCAGCCACCATTCCAAAGAAGCAGAGTCCTCAGTTTCAAAGGAAGGAACCGGGTTTGGCTTAACCTTCAGCACCCCAGAGGGGAGACAGACGCTGCAGCTCTGTCAGGTGGCCCTTTCAGCCATCGCCTCGTGGGAACCATTCCAGAGGGACACGGAGGCAGCCAAAAGGAAGAAAGGCAGGCCCGCCATCAAGCAGGCTTCAGGAGAAAGGGCAGGGGGTTCCTCCTCTCCCAGAACCGCTTCAAAGCATCCTGTGTGAGCTGCCTCTTCAAGGACCACTTGGATAGGACTGGGGGGGGGGGAGGAGGGCTCCTTTGCTCCAGGGCCCCAACTGGGCCAGGATGCTGATCTTGTTGCGCCAGATGCAAACCATGAGAAATGCTCGGGCATTTTAAACCACTTTATGAAACAGAGGGCTCCCTGACCAGCCTCCTTTAGGCATTTTAT